GCATCCCCAAATTGTTTTCACTATTGATGAGCTTGCTTCGTAAAGACCTTTCCTAGTGGACTAAATATGATAGAGGCCGTCCCTGATGTAAGTTAGATGAGTTTTTCGTGTTGGGAGAAACCATATAGCTTTACTTCGTCGATCGAAATAATTAACTGAATACCCACTAGGTTGTTATTCACAATAACTTAATTATGGCTAAGAAGTTGATTTCGATATTTTCGTTCATAACAGTTATTGCCGTCGCTTCATCATAAAATCAAGCAAATGATCTACTCTGCTCACATTACACAAACCCTGATCAGTGAGTGTGTGCATAGCAGCTCCAATGAATTCACAGTTATATAGAGCTTGGTCAAGCAATAGGGAACATTGGTGGGTTCATATTGCAGATGAAGGTCGCCACGTAAAGTTCACTTGCGGATGTTTGGCATGGTTCATGGTTTCATGTCGTTTTTCAGAGGTGGTGCCTATACCAATGGATCATTTAGTGCAAAGCTGTTCTTCGCGAAGAGTTTGGCAGCCGAGGAGGATGAGATGCGAGAAAGTGGAGACCGTAAGAAGGCTTCCATGCGACTTGAGGTGAGTGAATTGCTCTGGCCTCCTTTTCAACAGGTTTTCGGCCTCGTTTCATAAGAATTTCATGCAATAAGTGATGTCGATTTTCTTGTGCCGTGTGTTAATATGCTGTGTTTTATGCAGATCTGTCTGTTGTATTTGTGATATTCTGCAGAAGTTTTATCTAAGAGTTTTTTTTGTCATTTCGCAGGCCTTGGTATGATCTATTGATCCGTTGTGCAAAAGTTCCGACGTCTAAAATGTTTGTGCTTATTTGTGCAACTTTGTAGGATGCTGAGAAAAGGTACGACAGTAGGTTGTCATTCAAGTCAATATTTGGAAACGCACCACTTTACCAAATCTATGATGAACACTTCAAACGTAAGGAATCGCGTCGTCTTCATCATCGACTTCGTGGTAATGTGGTTGATTTTGCAACATTTTTATCAAATACCCCCAAGTAGGTCACCCATTACATTAGTCATGTTTGTTTTTGCACTTTAGTTTTTTCCCTATAACATTCATGAGAATTTTATCAGAGCAACTTAAACAGTGTGATCGAGTCGAGTTATTTGTAGTTCCATCAAAAATAAATCGTTTAACCTTTGGCATCGATTCAACATAGTGAGACTTATTTTTGTTACTCCTCACTGCTATCATCTTAACTATTTGTTATGTCAAAGTTCCCTTTTGGGATACTCCGAGTTAGAGGAATCTGTGGATGATATGGGCCTCTCTCTCACTTTCATTGGTATTTCATGTGGTAGTTTAGTTAACAGGTTCTATTTACCTTTAATGGCTTCTCTAGAGTCTATTAGATCGCTGCGCAAGAAGAGAGGTGACCAACGCCCTCTGCGGCAACCGAAAGCTATTGTGTCACCTCCTAAATTCGGTCCAGATGATCAGTCCTCCTCCTCGTCCTCCCTGGAAGACGAGGACGACTCAAAGCCACTGAGCTCGGAAAAGACTTCTTCCTTCACGGTCATTAAAAGAAATCTCTCTCACAAGCCATCCGACGTTGAACGCACCGCTAAGATGGGTGAGATGAACAGCGTGGCTAACGAGTTCTCCGGCACTGGACCTGCTCGAGTCCGTTGGGCTGACATGATTGAGGTCGTCCGGCTCAATCTGGCAGCTGGTCTTACCAAAGAACAACGCAGTCTACAGGAGGTGCTTTCAACCCGTTCTATTTCCTTGTTTCCGGTATTCATTAAGTCCTTGTGTCTTTAAGAGGCGCTCTCATTGATATAGCTATTTGTGACGGCTTCCATAACCTGTGCAGACGGTTACAGCATCCTACTGTTAAGTTCGGTTTCCTTTTCACAGGCTCGCTTCGAAATAATTACATCGGAGGCTTCCTACTACAAGAGTTTAACGGTGCTGATTGATCTGTTTTATAAGGCACCTGTCTTCAATCCAACGGCTCCTAACGCTGTTATTACAGAGTTTGATAAACATCAGCTCTTCTCGAACATCCTCAACATTCATATTACAAGTGAAAAGTACAGTTTTTTTACTACAAATTGGAACTTTTATGCAAAAGTGTGGTCACTGCACAATTTTTCCCTTATAGTCTCCTGCATTCATTGGAAACGAGTTTTCGTAAAGACCCGATGATGGGGAACATTTGTGATATTCTCTACGAGCACTCCGAGTCCAAATTGTCTTATTACGTTACTTACGTGAAAAATCAAATGTATCAGACCAGAACACTGAGTAAGCTCATGTAAGTTTGGGTCTAAGCCCCAACGATGTTTCTGCTCTGATTGAGTTCTTTGAGGGTGGTTTAACAGTAATAAACGACAGTATTACTGACTACTTTACGACTGCTTCTTTTCGTGATTTTGGATTTTTCACCC